TACATCAATAAATCTTCTTTCCTCTTTAAGCATTCAAATGACCCGTTGGGTAGAGCACTGAATATAGCACACATAGTTCAATGGAGAAACTCGTGTTCATCAAACTTGCTTTCAAAAGCTAAACAGTTGCATATAAAATTTCGACGTTTGTGGGGATTTACTGATTTCCTGACGGTATTCATCCTGGACTGGCATCAGTTACAGAAAAATTGAAAACCGGCGAGCACTGGACAACTGTTTTGTCCGAGTATATGACTTCGCAGAAATTTTTATTCATCTAGTTCATTCTCTATTTTTCTAAAATACGTTCCGGATGTTGTTTAACGTTTCAATTTTTCTCATGTTTCACTATTCTTTTTTTCACTTAGTTTAAGCATAAACAACTTTATATCTATGTTTACATCTTTGTATGTACTTAAACAATGGTTATGATAAATACAAAGATATGTCAGTCATATTCAACTCAGTTGGGTCAGCTACATCAACTTTATAAAAATCACACACCGTGTAAAAGTTTGCAGGGAGACTCCTACTATATACTATTTTTAAGTTTCTAAAAATCAATTACAATTCCACCTCTTACACATTAATATCCTTTTCTTATAAAATATGTTCATTCAACCCATAGCGAGAGAAAATTTCACTAATTGTGATGCGCCTAATCTTAAGAGAGATAAGGATGTATGAGATGACAACTGAATTTTGGTACTTGACATCTGTCGAACAAAACATTTATTATCACTAAGGCTCTGTGAAGCTCATAATACTCATTTTGTTAGCATTATTCCTCCTTTCCTTTGTAAACCGTTTGCCCCAGCTAAACTTACATCAATAAATCTTCTTTCCTCTTTAAGCATTCAAATGACCCGTTGGGTAGAGCACTGAATATAGCACACATAGTTCAATGGAGAAACTCGTGTTCATCAAACTTGCTTTCAAAAGCTAAACAGTTGCATATAAAATTTCGACGTTTGTGGGGATTTACTGATTTCCTGACGGTATTCATCCTGGACTGGCATCAGTTACAGAAAAATTGAAAACCGGCGAGCACTGGACAACTGTTTTGTCCGAGTATATGACTTCGCAGTAGTACGCACCCGTGACTTCCCCAGCGGTCGTACTCAGGGTGTTTAGCTTCCATAGCCGATACGTAAACACTGAGCCACTGGGTCAGAATCCAGTGGCTTATATTTCCTTTTTCTATCAGTTCACGAAATATCTCATACCGTCGCAGAGTAACTGTGCTCATGTTTCACTTAGTTGAGTCTCCTGGTCATGGCCTTTCATTAAAGCTTCGGAAATCATTTCTCATAGCTAGTCAACAACGAGGAGATAAGTAGGGAATACAGACCATTGCATTCCAACCTAGTGGCTTAATGGCAGCGTGCTGGTCGCGGAACCTAAAGCTTTACGGGTTTGATCCCTGGAGAAGCCATGGGTGCGCAATTCTGAGGAGTCCTATACTACGCCGCAACAGCTATTTAGTTCTCCCGGGTTCCCAGTGTTTCTCCAACTGATGTTAGTCCGTGATGAATACCAACCTGAAATAGCATATACATTAAGTTTTAGAAAAGAAATTCTTTGAAAAGTGTTCCCTTCACTTAACAATTTTTTTATGGTCTAAAAAGTATATTTATTGCAATGTAGGATATATTTGTATAGACCCTAGACCCTGTAAAACAAAATAATTCAAATATTTTGTCTGAAAATCTAATCTGAGCCTTTTCAGAGACATTATCAACTTACAATATCGAAGGTATACAAATGACTTTAGCCATACGTCTTCAATCTTTTTGTCTGATGCTCTTTGTAAGCTAACTGATTTCTGAAGTAAGATCAGTAATTACTCAGTGTGAACTTGAATTTATTCTGTTGTGCGATGTATGGGTCAGTGTTATTATTCATTTTCTCATTTGTTGTAAATATGGGATGTGAATTTAACAGGTGATCGACATTGTAATTTTGTATGAAATTCCAAAAAGCAAATGAGATGGATATATGCATCATTTTTGTCAGTATGTAATGAATAAATTAACAAACCCCATTAAGGACTAATCAACAGCAAAATGTGTTTACCTTATTGATTTATCAGAAAAAAAGTGGTGCAGATTAACAGTGGTGGTGTTGGTAAGAATAGCACATCGAATTAGTCCAGGTTGTGCTGCCGTTGCTGCAAAGATTATGAAGACGAAAATGGTGATGAAACCAAAAAGAAGAGTTGTCATTTTGATTTATTGTCAAGAGACAGCGAACTGTTCTGTATCTTGCCTGTTCAAATTAACTAGATTCGCCCAGAAATGTTGGGTCACAACCATGAATCTTTCTTGAGTGACCCCAAACTATTTTCTAGAGCCTAGTTTCCATGGAGTATAATTTTGTGACCAGTTTTATCCACTGCAATGATTTGCCGGTCCATTTCCAGTTTCATACTATCTGCTGTAGTTTTCGGAATTTAGGGAACATATAGTTTTCGGTCTATCATCCTCAAATTTATTTGTCTGGTTGTTTAACCTGCACAAATCACACCGTATTCAACACATCATGTTTTCCTTCGTTATCACCCATTCAACCTTCAATAAGATTGAAAGTAGAGCATATGCTATACAAAAACAGACCATCTTGTAATATTTACCGGAAATTGTTTTCATAACTTTTCAGAGTTCTCCCTATCATAAAGAATCTTCGTAGTATAGGTCCAGCTTTTTGGGAGAAGTTGCAGTACATTCCTAACTTTGACTTTAATATTCTTTCAAAGAATCTTAGGCATATTTATCGACTTTCGGTGTAAAACATACTGACATTTACTTTAATGTATTACCGTTTTTCATCGAAGCAACATGATTAAGTCTGTTGATCGGATTTCGAGCTACTGTTGCTTTTACTGTCAAAGGAGGTATAGATGCATAAACTAGGTGTCCATCAGATTGCATTAGTTAAAAACGCATTTGTAGTTTATTTGTCAAGAAAAATATGAAAAAAAACACTCAATTACAAATCGCATAGCAAGATAAACACAATTTCACACTGAATGGTTACTGATTATACTTCACAGAAAGCATCGGTAATGGAGTTGAATTATACACTTTTGAATTCGTTCATATATCTTCGACAATTAAAGTTCATGATGACATTGGAGAAGTTCAGACCGAGTTCCGGTACGAAACAATAGAAATGTTTCATTTCACAGAGGCTGAGATTATTACAAATATAATTTACGTGGAATATCAAATTATCCATCAGTACCCAATATTTGTAATGCAATTTTGATATAATTATGATAAATCTAACTAAAATGTTATCCAATTAAGCTTCTTTTTATTTTTAAACAAATATATTGTAAATATTCATCATTCTGTGAGTGAACAGACACAGTAACAGTGTCATAGATTTAGTATTTCACAACTCCAATCTTCACATTATGTAATTTCTACTGTTATTTGTGAGATTTCACAAACCTTTTAGACTTGATATTACTACTTATACGAAATAGAATGCGGTTTTCTAATCTTATTCAGAGTAATTAGTTATTACATTACTTTTACTCTGTCAGTGTTACATATGTTGTAGTTAATTTTGAATAGTCTACTGAATAAACATTCTTAGAGCCTGATTTGGTCCATTGATATGATAGATGTAAATGAACTTTTCCATTTTTAAAACAGGAAATACCAAAAGAGACATTTTGCGACTTTTGCATTTATCGTAACAATGGTGAATAATGTGTCTATATTTACCTTATATTTGAATAAGTTTTCTGCATGCAAACAATAGTAGCAAGTAGAAAAAAGCGTAGTTTTTTATTACATATATTATATATTTAATATTATAATGATATCCTTAAAATACTACGTCTTGTCTGATCTTCCTCAGTGTGTCTGAAATGATTCCTGTCTGATAAATTTTCAAATTTTATTCTATCAGTCTCTTTTGACATAAAGAATCCTCATAAAAAACATCTCTTTCGCTTTATTCAGACATAGCTTGGATATATTGTAATGAGTAGCAGCTATGTTCATAATACTCTTTTCAGTGACGAAATTGCAGCAGTCTTAACTAATTAACTTACTGTATTCCTCTCTGGTATTTCAAACTATAGCTGGTGAGTTCAAGTTTAACTACGACTGCCATGATTAGAATCTGATTGTATCCGGCTGACAAGTTGAAAATAGACTGAAAAACATAAAGCCTAGATTGTATTGCTAGGCTTTACGAAATATTACATACTTTATATCATACACATAGAATGCACTGGGATGGCTCTGCAGCTCAGCTTGCATGTAGGAGTATTCTTCCTCAAAAAATTAAAAAAAGTAACTGAATTCATTTGTTTTATCATTATGTTTGGTTGACTCAAAGCAAGGCCGTAGGAATAGACTCCATAAACAGTAAGTAATGAAAGTGTGAAGTAATATAATCCACTAACTGGTCAACGTAAATACCGTGGCTCTATTGTTGATCATCTAAAACCGGAACAGCCGTGGATTGAATTATTTGGTTCGTCAACTCATCGTTTATTCGAAACACTGCATGTCAATACTCTTGAAAGGACTACCATGACACATGGCACCTATTTCAAAAAGGATAATTTACTTTCGATTACTCGGCAAAAAATAGATTTTGAAGTGATGCAGATGCTCAGGACTTATTTAATCAAATAAAAATAAACCAGTCCTTACGGAGATCTTGTAATTATCATAAAACAAACCGCATCTCTTTAAGTTTACTGGATAGGATGGTGTTAATTGTTTAAGACAGTCACCTACTCCTTGTGTTTCATAAACTTCGCCAAGCTACTAAGAAGAAAAAGGAAACAAAACATGAATATTGAAATCATATGATATTGATTACCTTCTGTGTAGTAGTTTCAAAGTGGTTCTCTATGATTGTGAAAATATTTTCTTTTGTTTTTATTTTTTAGGTTAATTTATATTGACCGTAACTGGATAATACTGGACATAAAGCGGACACGTTTAACAAACTGAGAAACTTATGAGGACGCAATGAACAACAGTGCTGTAGACACAAACTACCACTTATTCTATGGCTTTAACGATCCTGAAGGACAAAGTATAGCATTAACAGCTATAAGTGTTGTTAAACCGATATTAAATCGCAAAGAATTATTCCTGTTTGACAAAACGTCGCGCACAACTGGATATAGCGGAATGGTATCAGCCAGACAGTTACACTTTATCTGCGGACCATATCCCGAATTACATATTGAAAATAACATACTATTCGATAAAGTTGTGCAAACAGGTATTATGCCTGTTCTTCTAATGATGTTAATTGTGCTCAGCAGTTTAACATTCGCTGTATTAACTCGATCAACAATGCAAACACCTGTATATGCAGTTCTTTTAGGTATAACAATAGCTGAAATGTCAAATGGATTGTTGCCACTGCCAATGTATTTATTGAGAGCATTTTATGGTGAGTCTGTCTGGTGGGAGAACCGTAAATACTCAAGGAACAATTTAACACAAATATCCAAATGGTGGAAATATGCACCACTTCACATTTACGAAACTAGTTCAAATCCAACAGTAAGTGGGATACTTGCTTGGACTACGGTATTTCTTCCAACTGTCTGTCATACAACAGCTACCTGGTTGACACTTTTTGTTGCATTTCAACGTTTAATATACATTACATATCCGAACAAAGCATCTAGATTGTTTTCCATACCAATAGTGCGCTGTGTTTGTGTTCTTGTTTTACATGTGCCCTTCTTTTGCACATTCCAATGTTTCAATCAACTTTCACTAATTTTCAACCCTTACTTTTACATCAAAATCTTACACTGAGGAACTATTCAGTCAATTTCAAGGAGATTTTATTGTATGAAGCGTTAGATCATTTACCTGAAGTTGTAATGAAATGTCATCTTTGTTTACCGATTCAAATGTTTCTGTATTTTTTATCCCGTGTCATATTGGTGCATTTACTGCCATGTATACTTCTAATAATTTTGACAATAATGATAATTATCAGGATGCGACGAATTCATGAACGACATTTATGGTTAACAAAAGGCAGAGTGCAGGTACAATTATCAAAAATGCCAATATCATATGAACGGATCAAATCACACTCTCTACCAAATTGTTTTAGGTTGGGTGTATCGCCGAACATTAATAATATCTCTTCAGATGGTTACACTCATAATACAGAACATCGTCAAAATACTAATGAAGATGAAATTAAATCTAAAATAAATTGTTTCTGTTGCATTACAACCAGCAAATTACATGCGTTTTTATTTACAAACCAAAATCATGGTAATTTTCATACTAATCTCCATAAAAATATTTCCTTGGATGCTATCGATAACAATGATGACAATCAAATTCAGAACAAAGGTTTCAATGTAGCTGCAGTTCGACGAAAATCTCAGGTTACTGAGTTGTTCTGTGTATCTAATATGTTAATAGTTCTGCTTATAAAATTTATACTCATACACCTACCTATTGCTCTAGTTATTTTTATATACACAATTAAATTGATGCAGAACAGAATATATGGACGGCCTACCAGTACCCATTCCAATGGCGTTGTACAAGAGTTTATACCAATTATAAGAAGCAGTAATCATACTATTTTATTACCTTATACAGTAATGGAATTAGTCAGTGAACTTGATCGTGTAAATGCTGCGATCAATGTCAGTGAAGCGCATACCAACATAATATGGTTGCGTGTTGTAACAATTTGTAATCTTTTAATATTGTGTTCATATCTATTGAATTTTTTGGTATTTTGGACAATGTCAACACAATTTCGTACACAGTTTCGTAATTTATTTCAATGTAGATGGATAAAACGTTTGTGTAGCAAAAAATGAGATGAAAAAAACTTAATGGTCCTTTTTTTATTGGTTTCTTTACAAAACCGCATTCTTATGCAGGCGGATCCATATAGTGAAAATGTTTACAATTGCTTATATAGTGAAAGTAATCCATGCGCGTGTTCTTATAGAATAAATTGATTCGATGCCTTATTCAAAGATTCCCATTTATCAGATCTATAAATACGTCAGAAAATACGTTTTCGCACTCTGTAAGAAAATGTCCAGTTGCCAATTATATCTTATTTCAAAGGAATATCAGCTATAAAACTGCATAAACAAGAACTTATTTGACAGCTGATTGTCACCAGTTTAGAAGTCTTTCCTACCACATGATGATGTCACCACGAAGAAAAAAGAATGAAGATGGCATTTGCCGCGCAGAGTGTACTGGAATAACGTTTTTCGTACCGAGTGCCAGATTTCGAAATGTACTCTTGAGAACCCTTCAACTCAGTTGACAAAGGAGGGATGGAAGTGGATTTGAAGCTCTTCAACAAAACACTTAGTTTACTCAGGACTCTGAGGTTTTTTTGATTATTCCTTCGAAAAGTTTCATATTACGGAACCAAACTGTCTGAGACACGCAAGAATAAGACATTTGATTAAATCTTAAGTATTTCCAACTCTGAAGGCTAAATCACTGTTTGCATTCACAAGAAGTATGCCTAACCTCTTTCTATACCACAACCACCATCAAGGACTGATTATACTAGGTAATCTGTCTTTGATGTAATCATATTTCATTTTCTAAACGTTTGTCTATTTTCCTAATCTCCGTATACACTACATAACTGTTTTTCTTTGTGCAGTATATTTTGACCTTCGAACAGAAGTTGCCTTGGAATATCCTATTATTTTATGTTCGTGTATGAAGAGCTTAAACACTGAATTCATTGAGAAGAAAAATGTTTACTCGCTGTGATTTTCTCTTCTCTTTTCCTAAAGTCAGGTGAATGTATTTGAATAAATGAAAAAAAACTTCAGGGCAAGTCAGACAGCTTTTATTGCATATTTGATATGGGGATACAAGCCCAGTCACATAGGCATTCGTTACGTACTTAGGACCTTATTTCACTCCCAGTTATTACTTTTCTGTGTGTAAATCGATGAGTTAGGTTGATATCTAGTGTTAGGAAAACAAAAATCTCCAAAATGTTTTCGAAATGTAGTAAACTGGCTTTTGAACTAGTCCTTCGGAATGACCGTTCTACATATGTGTTTGAAAACACGTCGCCTTCAGATGTGATGAACAAACATTGAATGATACACCTAGAGTTTTGTAGTGATTACTTTTTGGTTAAAGAGAAACTTCATTTTATGCAGTAAATATAATCCGCCTAATAAATAGGTGGTATCAATATTTTGAAAAAACATCGGTTAACAAGGAAATAACAGTCAAAAAAACAGCTGTTTTTTCTAGATATGTCTTTCAGTGCGATGTTTTGTCAAAAAAGGAAGTGAGGGAGCTTATCAGTCTATATTGAAAACTTAATATAGCTCATGAGATTACATCCTTAGAGTTTAGCTCATATTTCCTAATACATTTCATTATTAATGAAATTTTTACTCTGTGAATAATATTAAAGGTACTAATAGTGGAACTACTTACCCCGTGAAAAATTCAGATTTACAGTCGACTGACAATTTTAATTATTTAGAGATAAACGACCGTTTCTAACCACAGTTCTTGACTAAATCATGACGATTTTCTCTTGTGAAATGATGATATCTAACTTTTTATGCATGATGCATGACGTCTTTTGCTGAATTTGTATAAGTGACTGGGTGTTATTTGTTAGCATCTTATCATCGAAATACAATATGCATTCCTGCTCAATAAAACATTCCACTCGTCAAACATCAAATAGCAGGCTGACTTAATTTCAGAAACTGAGCAATGGGGACACAAACATATTGAAAACCGGTTAAATTAGGAAATTATAACGTTCTCAATTCATATTGCCTGATGAACGCGTGTTGGTGAACATCGCAGATGTTGAAAACCTAACCTGCGCATACAACTTTTTCGCCTTCCTAGTATGATGCCAACACTGACAAAATGCTAGTTCTTGTGTTTATCTGTCTCCTTAGAAGGTGTTACCACAAAGCAGCTTCTAAATAGCTTTACTTAGTTTAGAAGTGTTTAATTGTAGATTCAAAGATCTTCTAGTTAATGTCAGCTCAACGCCACAAGTCCACCGATTTCATTGCTAATGTAAAACATTATATTAATGTATACAAATAAGCATCCTTAGGTATAATGACATTCTCAGTTTAACTTGAAAATTTTCACCAATTTGCTTAGTAGATGCCAGATATGTGATAGATGTTATACTGTGTCAGGTGGCGTGCATATTTGTCATACCATAATAGTGGAACATAAAATGTTTCCTTACATAGACGACAGTAGATCAAATATACTAATACATCTTTATTTGATTTCCTTTACATTTTCTTATTTATCACCATTTGACTTCAATGATATGTTACCTTTCTACGTTAACGTTTCCCTGGCTAATTAGTAAAATCAATGCTTGTTAAAGACCAACATTACTGACTCCAACAATCTGACCAATCGAAATCATGACTATTATTACTGACTTTAATACGTTTTCTTTACGATGCTTATACACTTTATCTTTGTTTTGATGATGACATATTTCGTGCACAATGTATGCCATTTCCTAAAACTGCCTGATAACAATATATTATAAGCGGACAAGGCTAATAGTTTAATCTGCGCGACACATTTTGCTGTGATTTTTACTTCAGAAAATAGTGGCTTACAAGTGGCTCATTTTGTGCCAAACCAACTAAAAGACGTAAATTCCCAACAATCATTTAATTATCATCAATAAACCTGACAGGTCAGGTTTCAGCATCTCAACGAAGCTAGGTTGAAGTGAGTGTGAGAGTAGTCTTACACTGGTCGATTCTGCTATGTGAGGTATAGTTTCGTTGAGAAAAACTTACCGTATCTCAACGTTATTGTCAATAAGCCTAAAAGTTGAGACTACGATTGGGGTCGAAGAGAAAACAACTCTACCACTACCGGTCAGCTACAACAACCTTAGTTTGTTGTGAGGAATACATACATAAATGTCATACAGCTGATCGTCAGCCTCATTCACAAGTACTTCGAAATGATCCCATGAGGAGAGAATGCTTGTTAGAAACCAAGTTTTGTGATTTAATACTTTTCTGTTTCCAACGTGGTAATCCATACGTGTTGATGATTCTTGACAGTAAACTGAAAGGCCATCCTAGCAACTCCTGAAATAACGAATCAGGTTCTGGTATTCCAACCAGAAGATCGTTTTTCATTAAAAAAAGGAAACAAAGTCGGTTGTCTCAACAGTTGTTTCGATGACTTTTAAAGTCATTCACTCATTTACATCCCTCAGAGTGTCAAAAAGAAGAGATAAGTCAAAGTAACTTCTTTTCGGTTGCTACATTTGTACAGCTATTTATGCATTGAGAAAGTTATTATAAAATTCCTGCCAAGTAGAATCACTTATTGTAACTGTCGATAACCTAATGACAAAATGCCTAGTCATATATTTGACTTTCTACCACTGTTCACGTTTTTACAAAACAGCGCTTCACAGATAGGGTTATTAGACAAAGTTACTGCTGTGTTACTTCAGGGCGTCAAAGTGTTCAGGTAGTGAAAATAAGTATATCTCACGTACGAGAACAATGACTTGTGCAAACTAGTATGAACTAAAATATTTGCTTCCTATTTCACCCGTAAATTTTGTTTCAAGTAACAATATGTGGATCACAATGGATTAGCAGTGTCAAAAGCATAACAGAACCTAATAACACTTCTCTTAGTCATCCATACTACAGCTAAACGGTATTTTGAAATTGATCTACTGTATATCTTTGAAAAATTTTAATTTTTAACATTTTCACCACTAATGGCTCTCTCTTCAAATGACGTACAAACGAATGACTTCTAGAAATCTAAGACAGATAAACCTAAAATAATCTAACGATGATTATTTTTTGAACAACATTTTGTTAAAGATAAGAAATTTTACAAGTTTTCCAATGAAATCAGCCACTGAGAACGGTTGATCGGCTAGCTTATCTGTTAATGTTTCAATTGCATAAGTAAATGCAATCAACTCTAAGTCATTCTGCCGATGATATATTTGAATTTTGAGGGAATTGTGAAGATTTGGAAATATTTCAAAGTGTTATTCATCGTAAACTGACATCAGTTGGAGGAACAAAGAAAACCTGAGAGCACTCGACAGCTGTTTCGTCCTAGTATGCGACTCCTCAGCAGTGCACACCCACGACCCCCCCCCCCCCAATGATCGGACCCACCACCTTCAGGCTGCGTGGCTAGCACGTTTCCATTGAGCCACTGGGTCAGAATCCAATGCTCCATATTTCCAACTTCTGTTAGCTCACGATATAGCGCAACCGCCAGCCAACTTAATCGTTGAGTAACTGTCCCCACGACCCTCAGGCTTTGCCCTCACCGGTCACGACTTCTCATTGCAACTTCGGGAATATCTATCGAAGCTAGTCACCAATGAGTGCCAGTTCAATTGAATAGTGAGGAAGTTGTGAAGATTTGGAAATATTTCAATGTTTTATTCGTCGTAGACTGACATCAGTTACAGGAACAAAATTCAATTGAACTGGCACTCATTGGTGACTAGCTTCGATAGATATTCCCGAAGTTGCAATGAGAAGTCGTGACCGGTGAGGGCAAAGCCTGAGGGTCGTGGGGACAGTTACTCAACGATTAAGTTGGCTGGCGGTTACGCTATATCGTGAGCTAACAGAAGTTGGAAATATGGAGCATTGGATTCTGACCCAGTGGCTCAATGGAAACGTGCTAGCCACGCAGCCTGAAGGTGGTGGGTCCGATCATTGGGGGGGGGGGGGTCGTGGGTGTGCACTGCTGAGGAGTCGCATACTAGGACGAAACAGCTGTCCAGTGCTCCCAGGTTTCCTTTGTTCCTCCAACTGAT